CATTCTTGCCTATTTCTCACTCAGGAAAGGCATACTATATTTGGTCGAAAGGAATTTATGAGATACGCCACAGAATTAAGTCAATTGGAATGCATATCTTTTGTATAACCAGACATACTACTTAACAGTCTGAATTGTTCAATTAGATAAGTTATAAGTATACAAGATTTGCAAACCCTCTCTGTGTAATTAATTAATTTGAACAATTTATTGTAGATGTTTATCTGTGTGCTTTTGGATTCAATGTACAATATCTCTGTCCAAATATTACTACTCAGTAATTCTCTAATTTTGGTGGATCAACTTTGATCATTAAGTGAGATAAGTGATTTCATACTAAAAGCTTAATAGTTAATCTAGTAATCAGACAGTGAGTATGACTACAAAGAGGAAGAAGTAGAGTTCTTGTTAGATCCTACCCTGATTGTAGAAGGAGAAGACAGCCTTGACAACGGCTGTAATGAAGAGTGTAATGACTATACACACTGCCCTGGAAATACTGATGAAAGCCTGTTCTTAAAGAGCATGCAAAGACTAACCAAGATGGAGGACAAAGCAAGGGCAAAGATACAGGAAGCTCTCAAAGCTGAAGAGGAGTTGTTCCTAGCTCACTCGTTTCCTTTACTCTTACATAACTTTCTTTATCCTCTCTACAATATTTGTGTGTAATGTATCTGCTAAGTTTTAGTAATGTCAAATAAAATAAGATGCAAGTGAATTTGATGTTTGATCGATACTACAAATCTTGAGCATCATTTCAACACTGACATAAGCTATTTGTCCTTTGTAATCTTGATGCCCAATTACAAAACATAGGTGTACTGTAGTTGATACTAAATAACAAGACAATGAGGGAAGAGTAAAGACATGAGGCTGAAGGGCTTAGAAATAAATCTGAAATGAATGGAGGGAGGCAAAACTATAAAGGATGGACATAAATAAAATATGCGTTGTTTTTTTCCAGTTATGGAAAAAAGTAAAAATAAATCCCCTAATTGCAAATTCGTGAAAAACAAATAAGAAAAGTAATGGAACCTCAACTTTTATTCGCATCCTCATTCTCTCTGATACTGCCAACAACACAATGTCTTCCTCACTGCCCTAGTAAGCTCTCGCACTGTGCTGTATGATTTTTCTGCTCATTATACCTCCAAGTCCTATCTTGTACCTTACACCCCCATCACCCCAGTACACACTGCCGGCCGACCCACACGAAGTACAGATCCCTGATGCTGTGTATACAGTTTCCCCTGCTCAAATAAGAGCCGAGCAGTCGCAGCGCAAACGCCCAAAGTACTCGCGGAGCAAAACAGGATGTCTGACTTGCAGAAAGAAAAGGATTAAGGTATGTATGCGTTCACAGCACATTTTGCCGTGTCACTATACTGAAAGGTCTGCTAGTGCGATGAAGTTAAACCAATTTGTCGCCGATGTGATTATGGACAACGCGAGGTTTGTTTAAGCATTACCTAGCATCTTTCATTGAGCTGACCTACATTTGTAGTGTACCTGGCCAGACCTGACGAACTCAAAGAAAAAAGTGCAGCAGTGAAAGTAGCAATGTCATTATTACATCTGTAAATTGGATAAATATGTTTAATTTTCACACATTATAATAAATTAAAAGTAATTAGAATGAGTTAATATTCTACGATCCGGAGAACTTGACATATCGATTACCACAGAGATGAGCTTAGCTCTCGTAAGCGTGCACCATGTGTTATGTAAGCATCTGACGCGAAAGTACATACAAACTTTGGCGCTCATTGCGCTTCCGACTGGTTTCAGGCTGGCTTAACGGACCCTTGCCTTATTGGCCGTGCAGTATGGACGATGGTATCTTAGCATTTCTTTTGGATCTCCTCCGTGACAAAAAGTCTCGTTTTAACAAGTCCTACAGTGAGGATGCATACAGCTTCTATCGCAATCCGAACCTACAAGACGCACGAAAAGCAGCAAGCGTTGTAAATGACTTGTGAGAAAATCTCAACCAGCCCATTCAGTCATGGCCGGAGCAACTTGTCTTACAACATTTGCGAGATCGTTGTGATTCTATTTTATCAATGAACATGTACAGTTCAGTCACAAAGATGCTGGGGGCTGTTGAACGTCTATTGCTCCACGCAGAAGATAGGGAGATGTACGCAAATAGAAATGATTCATTAACTATGCACAGGCACTCCTTGACCGAATTGATAGTAGAATGGAGGAAACTTGAATTAATGGTATATAATTAATACAAAAGATACAGTAGCTTATATTATCACTAGGAAACTCTATTTGTGGAGTTATAATCTTGATAATAGATATATAGTACTAGTTGTAGTGTGTGCGTTATAAAAGTTAAAGCAAATATAAAGCAAGTACAATGCAAAAGAGTAATCTAGTATTACAAGATCTTTTTAACAATGTAATTACGAGCAGTCTTATAGGCAATAGTTGCCTCTTTAATATTGAATTCCTGTATATATTCAAGATATTATTAGCAAAAAAAGACAAGGAAGCGGAAGCAAAAAAACTTACATTTTTATCCACTGGTAAGTGGATCGAGCCTTCCCATTTCTTCTTCCCAAAGCACCTTATCAAAAGGTGTGGGTTGCCGTCGTTCGGTGACCGATGGATTCCACCCCTAAGAATAAAGTAAAATAAATAACAATGTTGAAAGAAAAAGGAAGTACTTACACAATTTTCGCCGTTTTAATACGGCTATAACGATCCGGAAGTGCATCCCTAAGCGCTCCCAAAACTTTCTCAGCACCGTCCCTGCAGTGTGCACGCATTGCGATATTCGTTTTGTAAGTCTTTTTTGAGTCCCAAGAAATCGGGGGAAAGGAAGGCGGCGTGCGTCCAGATCCTGTACAGAAAGCACGGACGGCCTGGGTAATGAAGGGATGCTTCACAGATACTAAGGTGCTCAATATTGAGGCCTGAGTTTGACGAAGGCACGCGCTGGAGCGTAGCATAATTACTTTCTAAAATAGAAGACAAGAAATATAACAACGTACCGAAATATAAGACCGTTCATGTTCAGCGTGATTGTGTTCGTGATAACAGAGCAAAGATACTCGGGGAGATAGACTTGGTGAAAGGGTCAAGTCGTGATTGTGTGTGCTATGGAGAAGCAGGTGATACTCGAGGGGATAGACTCGACGAACAGGTTGAGATCGTAGCAGAGACAGCGGTGGACTTGCTGGAATAGTAGGCGTAATGGATATCAAAGTGTATGTGTCGAAGATGTGAAATAGAAGAAAGAGAGCTGGAATACGTACGACGGAGGAATATCAGAACAGAGAGCACGAGATAGCGAGTGTTAGTTGACGCAAGGTAAGAAGGCTGCTTTATTGTGTGCAAGGGAATGGAATAGTAGGCATAATGGATGTCAAAACGTATGTGTTAAGGATGTGAAATAGAACCAAGCAAGCTGGAATACTTACGACGGAGGAATATCAGAGCAGAGAACACTAGAGAGTGTCTTCTTGCAGCGAACATGATATCGCTTTGAAGCAAGTGACGCAGGAGAAGCAGGAGATAGTAGGCACGCAGCAAGTCGATCAGTCCCTCATAAGCGGACAAAAGCGTATTCTCAGATAAGTCGTATTTGTCTCACATAAGTATTAGACATCGAGCACGAGAATTGAACAGATTAGACGTCGATTGCGCAGTAAACAAAGCAGATGTTCACGAAAAGTCGAAATTGGTTGATATAGAAAGTGTCTCGAGTTGAGAGGCACTGTAGCGACGAGCGTTGGAGGAACGCATTTCATCACGAGCGTATTTCAAGCGATATTACACAGATGCTAGGTTGAGAAACAGCGTCGTTGAATAATTTTATTCCAATATGATGCCGTTCACCGCGGATCGGGTTAAGGAAACTTGGAATTATATCGCGCGTCGCGAATGTGATCAACGGATCGTCATTTGCTGCGCGTGACCAAAAACTTCCCTTATGTGTGCTGCGTATGATAGGCGCACATGACCATCCACAGTACAACTCAGCTCAATGGCTTCATCTAGGTCTGCTGTGTGTTCATGTTGCTGAAATTTATTTTGCAGGGTAATTGAAAAGCTGATTGGCCATGGTCTGCAAGTTTATCATGCTGCTGAAAATTGAAATTAAAGACAATTTACAGGGTTATTTAGGTTATTTAGAGACACAAAACACTTGAGATGACTATTGGCATAGATTTGCAGTTAGAGTGAGACAATTTCAGCTATCAAGGAGTAAACATATCAACTAGCACAAGAAATGGATCAGGATAACTTGATCAATAGCAAGAAGTGAGTGGTAAGAAAGTAAGTATATCAGATAACAAGAAATATGTCTGTAATTCTACACCCTTGCCTTTT